TTGGCTGGTGTCTCCACACTCCTGCCATACCCAGAAGTGTGCCCATGAACTCTGCAGGGCCAGCCCTTGCTCCCAGCTACGGTATCAGCGTCATGTCCCAGGGCCCACTTGGTTGGTTGGGTCCTTGTTCCACAGGCACCCTGGGAGCCAGGACTCCTGCTCCTCACAGCACAGCCACACTTTCTAGTGTCCCCTTCTGGAGTGATCTTTGCTCCTAGCCCCCAGGCTGTGGCTCCCAGATGAGGGTGTCCATAGGGATATGGACAGGAGGATGAGGGGGGCAACTAAGGCTGTGCTGGGCCCAGCCTGGCTGTGTGTGTTAGACTCCGGGCCCAGCCTGGCTGTGTTAGATCCCGCTGTCTCCACGGGGCCCAGCCTGGCCCATCTGTTGACTGAACAAATGATTACATTCACAGATTCTGTTTCACTTGGCAAGGAAAGACCAGGTCTTGTGTCCAGCATCATGCTGAGGACCCAGCAGAAACCAACAGAATCTCGGTCCTACCCAAAAGGGCTCTCCTTGCACGGGGGAGACAGCTAGCCAGAGACAGAGCTGGGACAGAGGGAGGGGCAGGCCCAGGATGGAATGGAGTGGGGGTGACTTTCTGAGAGGTAAAGGACTTGACTCGGGCAGGTGATGGGGCACAGGGAAGGAGGCTTTCTGTAAGACTGTGATGGATGCATCAGTAGGTGGGGACCGGAGGGAGAACAATGAAGGCCAGGAGAAGGGGCTGGGTGAGGGCAGAAGGAAGCAGACAGCTGCCAGCAGCCCCTTCTTCCGAGGCTGGGCCAGCTGCAGGACGCCAGCTGACCTGGTTTCCTGGCTACGGTACTAATCCCCAGGGATAAGCTTAAAAACTCAGTGCAAAGCTGGGGCGGGCGGGGGCAACAAAAGCTGTAGCTTGTCCCCTCTCCCTGTGCATCACCTGCATCCCTCTCCCTCAAGGGCTTTTACACCTGGCCGCTTTCTCCCATAGCTCTCCCCAAGGCTCCCTTTTCCTGTACCCACAGTCTATGGCTCCCCCTCTCTGTTGGATGAACCTTGAAAAGAACAACCTCACCAAGTACATCCCTTGCCCAGACCCTGCCATAGCTCCCGGTGCCCTCAGGCACACATGAGGACTTCTCCCCCCGGCCAAAGGTGGGCTGACCGCACAGCATCCCTCTGCTCAGTATCACAGCTCACTCGAGTTCTCCCCCTGCAGCCAGGAGGAGCCTCTAGACACACGAATCTGAACACGAGGCTCGCTCACTCGCTTGTTCCCCAGGGCCCTCATAGTAGCTCAAATCCCCGGTCTCACATGCCCAGACTTCCTGCTAATACCCCACCCGACTTGGCTAGGCCCCCAAGTCCGCTGCCAGGAGGAGCAAGAGGGGAGCTTACCCTTGGCGTAAGTGCTGACGAGAGTGGCGAAGTTAGCAAGGAGTGTGAGCGGGGAGAAGTCAGCCAGGTCAGCAATCTCCAAGGTGTGCAGGAGGGAGCGCAGGCGCTCAGCACAGAACCTGAGAAGCCATGGGGTCGGGAGAGGGAGGGAAGCAGCAACGGCTGGGACTCTCGCCACCTGTTTACCTGGGCATCGTCTGCGGCCAAGCTGTCCCCACACTGCAAGCATCCACAGCTACCGCACAGCACTAGCACACGGCACCCAGGTTTGCCGCTTGTATGCAAATTCTTGTCAAACAAGACCCATGGCCATCAGTCACTGTGCTGAGCAGCCAGTGTCCTGGGCCCCACACTCAGAAAGAACAGCCACACACTTTCCCAGGCTCGCACATGCACACGCATAGGGCTGCAGAAGTACCAGGTAGTCCTGCAGCGGTCACAGCCAAGAGCTGACACGGCTCGCTCCACATCCGACTCTGACCTGACCCCTGACCCCGTCACCAGCCACAGGTCTGGACCTGAGGTCCCCATGGCAGCACGCGCACCTGAGGGGCTTGCGTTGGATGCACACGCGCTGAGCCAGGCCGCTCAGGAAGGCAGGAGGGCTCTCCTGTACCACATGCTGCACGCGCAGCCGCCACTTGACGTACTCCAGCAGCCGCCGCAGGAAGCCCAGGAAGTGCTCGGCAGTGCGGATGGAGCCTGGCACGGCCTCTGCAGGGAGACTGAGTCAGCTGGCACCAGGAGGAAGGGGTGTGAGGGTGGGGGGTGGGGCACGGCTCACCCTGCAGCACCTCGTCCGGCAGCACAGGGTTCGCCAGGTGCGCGTCTGTCTCCCGAGCCGCGCTGGCCTCCCGCAGCCCCTCCACCAGGCGCTGGTACTCGTCCCGCAGCCGCTGCTCGTCTGTCTCCTTGATCCTGGCGGGGACATGGGACAGAGCTGGAATGGGGCAGGTGTCCAGGGCCACAGAGGCAGGCGGCACACAGGGAGCAGAGTGGGCACCTGAGCACCGTCTTCTGCAAGGTGTCCAAGTTGCTCTGGCAGCGGTCCAGAGTCCTGCGGGTGAGGTTTACACTCATGGAGTCGATGCAGACATTGTCTAGGAGGAAAGCAGACAGACATGGGCTCAGCCGGCTTGGGGGCGGGGCAGAGAGGCCGCCGCTGTCTGCACACCCTGGCACCCTCCTCACCAATGTTGTGGGCTTCATCGAAGACCACGACGGCCTTGCGGGCCAGCTCTTTGGACACCAGGTCTGCGATCTTGGGGTCCAGGAGATAGTGGTAGCTGTAAACCACCACGTTGGCATGCAGGATCTAGGAACATGGAGGGATAAGTTTTTGCCTTGGGCCCTGCTGCCCCCGCCATACCACTCCTTCCCAGGTGTACAGACGTAACACCAAGACAGACAGCAGGTGGATGGAAAAGACAGATGGGACCACCCAGGCAAGGCATAAACAGAGGCTGGAGACAGGAAAACATAGAAACCAGGTCAACAAAGATGCAAGCAGACAGATGGGCTAACGGAGGGGTGGGCAAAAGTGGCTCATGCCTATAACCCCCATAGCTGGGAACCTGCGTAAGGTTCTTCTAAGTTTGAGGCCAGCCTGGGTTATAAGTGAGACCCTGCCCCAGAAGAAAACAAAACAACTCTTCACCGAGTATCGAGCCAGGAAGTAGGGGCACCAGCCCTGCCGCTGCCCCAGGGCCTTCAGGTCATCCAGGTTGTAGATGCCTGTAGAGAGGGGCACCTGGCGTCCGTGGGCATCAAACTCCTGGGGAGGCAGAAGATGGCAGTGTCAGGGAGAGCTGCTGTCCAGAGTGTCTCTGCCCTCCCCGGCCTGGGCCAGAAGATGGCAGGGTCAGGGAGAGCTGCTGTCCAGAGGGTGTCTGCCCTCCCCGGCCCAGGCCAGAAGATGGAAGGGTCAGGGAGAGCTGCTGTCCTGAGGGTGTCTGCCCTCCCCGGCCCGGGCCAGAAGATGGAAGGGTCAGGGAGAGCTGCTGTCCTGAGGGTGTCTGCCCTCCCCGGCCCGGGCCAGAAGATGGAAGGGTCAGGGAGAGCTGCTGTCCTGAGGGTGTCTGCCCTCCCCGGCCCGGGCCAGAAGATGGAAGGGTCAGGGAGAGCTGCTGTCCAGAGTGTCTCTGCCCTCCCCGGCCCGGGCCCTTCCCTGCACCTCATAGAAGCGGCAGTGAGGCAGGCTGGCATCCTGCTGGTACTGGGCCCGCACATATGAGGCTGTGAGGCTGTGACACTTGCCGTCCACGTCCTTCCCAAAGCGCAGTGGTGTCACCTGGGGGTTCAGGGGACAAGTTACAACAGAGACAGGAGGTAGTGCGTGCCAGCTATGCCAACCTGGGTTTCCCAACTCGGGACATCACAAGTAGCAGGTCAGCTGGGGTTTCTGGGCAGCCAGAACCTTCACCTGAGCCACTATTAGTTAGCAGGACTTGCTGCAGGGATGTCAGAGTGGGACATCAGAACCGTCCCCAGAGCTGGGCACGGCAGCACAGACCTGAATCCCAGTTACCAAGACAGCTGGAGCAGGAGGAATGCACCAACTCAGGCCAGCCCGGGCAAACACCAAGGCCCTACCTCACAATAAAACGTGTGCAGGGAGATACGCAGGCAGAACACTGTTTACATAACACATAAATTAATCTTAAAAAAACAACATAGAAGTGTTTGTAAGTGTTTAAAAAATAAAAACCTAAGTTTCTCCCTCTCTCTCTCTCTTTTATTTTTTGTTGTTTTTTGGAGACAGGGTTTCTCTGTGTAGCTTCAGAGCCTATTGGCACTCGATCTGTAGACCACACTCGCCTCGAACTCACAGAGATCGCCTGCCTCTGCCTCCTGAGTGCTGGGATTAAACGCCCGGCTCTAAGTTTCTCTTTTAAAAAACAAGCTAGACAGGGCTAGAGAAATGGCTCAGAGGTTAAGAGCACTGGCTGCTGTTCCAGAGGTCTTGAGTTCAGTTCTTACCAACCACAACCATCTATAATGGGATCTGATGGCCTCTTCTGGAATAAGGGTGTACATGCAGATAGAGAACTCACATTAGATAAATAAATCTTAAAAAAAAAAAAAATTCAAGCCGACAGTTAGTGTCACATGTTTTTGAACCCAGCACTCAGGAGGATCTGTTAGTTTAAGGCCAGCCTGGTCTACAGAGTGAGTTCCAGGACAGCTAGGGCTACACAGAGAAACCCTGTCTTCACTGAGTAGCCCTTGGCTCAACTGTGTTTTGGGGTTCTGGAATACCTACATACATATAATAGATATCGTCAGATAGGATAGGAGGCTGCCATGAAATTCACTTATGTTTCATGTATATAAAAATCCTAACACTTCAAATGTGCTCTACCGTTTAGACTTTGACTTATCCCATGAGGTCAAATGAGAAATTCTGAGGCGTCACCCTGGCACTCCAGCAGTTTCTGTTCTAGGAGCAGGAGCTAACCTGCGCTCTGACTGATGACCCAAGATCTAACTGAAAAGGGAGTTACACTGGTGGTCACCTCACATGGCCACGGGCTGTCTCTGGGGCTTGCACTGGGTAGCCCAAGGCTGAGGGCGAGGCCCG